TATGTACTTTTGGTGGTAAAAACTCTCTCGATTTTTGCTTGTCTGAAATGGTTCAGTTTATCATCTTTCTGGAAAGATGGTTTTTCTGGGCATTGATTTCTAGTTTGACACTTATTTTCTCTCAGCATATGGAAAGATGATACTCCACTGCTTTATGGCTTTCACTGTTGCTATTGATAAGTCACCTCTCAGTATAATCACTATTCATTGTTTTGCAGGTAATTTCTCTTTCTCTCTGACTTCTTTTAGTACTTCTGTTTTGTTTTGTTTTGTTTTTTTCTTTAGGGTTCTGCAGTTTTGCAGTGAGGTTTCTAAGTGTAGGTTTCTTTTTATTTATTCTGCTTGGGATTCAGTGGGCTTTCCAGATAATAAAATTGGTATTTTTCATCAGTCCTATGGAGTGCTATTTTACATCCATTATCTCTTCAAATATTGCCTGTTCTTCATCTCCTTTTGGAACTTCAATTGAATTCATGTTACTCTTTTTCTTCTTATTCTCCAACTCTTTTGACCTCTCTGTCTTAGTCTCCTTCTATTTTCCTCTCTGCACATTATGAACAATTTCTTTGGATCTATTTTCCAGTTAACAAATTCTGTCTTTCAACTGCTATTTAAAAGGTGCATCAAGTTTCTAACTTTTTTTTTTTTTATCCTTAGAAGTAACATTTTTTAGGGCCGGCCCGGTGGCGCACTGCTACAGTGTGCCGCTTGGGAGCGCAGCAGCGCTCCCGCCAAGGGTTCGGATCCCACATACAGACCGGTTCCCGCTCACTGGATGAGCGAGGTGCGGGCGCAACACCAAGGGTTGCGATCCCGTTGCCGGTCCGGTCTGGTACCGGCACAACACTGAGGGTTGCGATCCGTTGCCGGACATGAAAAAAGACAAAAAAGGAAAAAAAAAAAGAAGTAACATTTTTTCAAATCTGTATGACTGTTAATTCCCTGTTCCTCAAAAATTTTTTCAGGCTTCTATTTTATTTCTTTAAGCGTATTAAACATATATTTTTATATCTTGTACATGATGATTCTAATATCTGAAGCTTTTGCAGGTGTGTTTTTTGCTGTGTACTTTTTCTGCAGGTTGTTACTCATAGTGCCCTGATTCTCTGCATGTTTTGTAGATTTTTGATTATGCACTGCTCAATTTCCTTAAGACTTGATCTGTGAGATTTATTGTGGTCTTAAGGAATTTGAATTTGCTTCTAACGGCTGCCTGGGAGCATCACCAACCTGGGGTCACTTTATATTCTTTATGTGGGGTTTCTCAGTCCACATACTTAGCATTAATTGGGATCAAAACCTAAATGAAGGGCCGCCCGGTGGCACACTGGAGAGTGCGCCACTTGGGAACGCGGCAGCGCTCCCGCCGAGGGTTCAGATCCCATGTGGTGACCGGTTCCCGCTCACTGGCTGAGCATGGCGCGGGCGCAACACTGAGGGTTGCGATCCCGTTGCCGGTCCCTGGTACGGGCGTGACACCGAGGGTTGCGATCCCATACCGGTCAGTTAAAAAAAAAAAAAAAAAACCTAAATGAAGACCCTAAAAATTCCACAAAAAACTATTAGAATGAACAAATTAAGCAATACTGCAGGATACAAAATTCACAGTGGTGTATGCCTTGCAGATTCCTTAGGTGGGTAAATAATAACTACACTTCAAAATCTCTTTTTTTAAGTCCTCACACTACATGTATACTTTTTCTAATAAAATTAACACTTTAAATAATATTTATGAGCATTAAAGCCACAGACTTTTTAAATATTTACCTAACCATTTAGAAAGCGCTTAGCATTTTAGGTATAGAAAAATATCTCACACTAACTTTTGCCTTTCAAAACTTTTTATTTACTTAACTATATAAAAAATGATACCACTGAATAGCTGTAAACTGCATTGTAGAATATACAACTAAAATGGGATTGAAATGTAGTTCAATTCTGGCCAAAGCTTCTATGTAGACAATTGGTTTTGTGTTTTGTTTTTGGGTTTTTTTAAATTTCTTATTAGTTTCATCTGACTCCTGGCAGATAGACTACAAACTTAGTACTTCTTTCATTAACCCACCAAAGCAGAACACAGTCAGCAGTAACTAGATTTAAACTTTAAATCTCTAAATGCTTTGGTAAAAAAAACCAAAAAACACCTCAGTTAAAAACTGACACATATATAGCATTTAAATCAAATATTATAAATCTAATAATTAAATTAAATGATTTACAAACATGTGCCATTATTTTTTAACACAGTACTTTACATGTATCTGAAAAGTTAAAGGTTACTTTAAATCTATTCTCCCACAATTAAAAACATTTATATTGACATGAGTTTTCAAGTGGTTTCCAAAGATATTAATAAAAACATCTAAATTCTTAAGGAAACTAAAGTGATAATTTTGTTAACATCATAAAAATTAATCCACATATACTTTTTAAAAGAAAGTTTTCTCTGTCCAAAAAATACAGAATATTTGCACACCTGTTCCAATTATACACCTGGGAAAATACGGGTTAGCAATATCAGCATTCAACATTTAAGTAAAACTTCAAGAATTACTAATTTGTGACATTTTATTTATACTTTCATTTATACCTTACCAAAAGTGTAAACTAACTAAAAGAAATTAATTTTAGAATTGGAAGGTATTATAGAATTCATGTACAAGGATCCCCTGATACAACAGGATACTGAGACTCAGAGGTTCAATGACTTTTCCAAGATTAAACAGTGGAACCAAGACTTGACACTCAATACTCCGCCTATGAATCCAGAACATTTTCCCCTATGTCAGATTCTACCCAAAATCTTTTCATTTTCCTTCTCTTTCTGAAAAAAAGAAAGTATTTTTACAATTGTCATGTACAATACTTCAAAAATTAGAAAATGTCTTATCTTTTACTTCCATAAAAGTACTGATTTCCTCTTGATTTCTCTACTATAATACCCATAATAAAAAAAAAAAAAAAACGGATCCACTGCTAAACTTTAGGAACAAGAAAAAAATTCTTATTATTATATCTGCTAAGTTAAAAATATCTTTTTCTAGTAATGCCAAAATAGCATTACTTTGTGACAGTAAACATTAACTAACCATGTATAAACCTCTGTACTATTAGCATATATTTTAAGACCTCAAAAATGTTCCTATTCAGAGTAAAATGTGAATAAGGGTTTTCTGTGCTAAGAAAACATACCCTTTTAAGAAGCACAAATTGTATTTTCCTCTAATACAAATAATAAATGAAGCTACCTGGTATAGCACTGCATCTAGTTAAAGACTAAAAAAGGTTGCTGTGATGGAAAGAGCACCACACTAGGATTAAGAAGACTAGAAATTTTCAGTTTATAAGAGGACAGACAATTGACTATACCAATGAATTACAATTAAAATATTAAACTGTGTTAAGTTCAAGAAAACTCTACAAATGTGACGAAACTGTGCTAAAACACTTTTCCAGTGTTAAAAATGCAATCTATTCACATATAGCCAAAAATTAAATGTTACTCTAATCTATGAAAATAGTTGATACTACTTTGTCCTACAGTGAATCCACTCAAAACAATTCTTCTTCTGATACATATGTTTTAAGCTTTATTATCACTGGTAATAAACTGAGAAAAAAAGCATAACAAAACTTTCTCAAGCATCTGGCCAAGTAACTACAGACCACAAAAGTAGCCTGAAGCTATTTCAAGAAGCAAAGTGTTCTGTCAATGGAACGCTACAGATAAGTGTTTAACATGTCATAAAATCAATGTACTAGCTTGTAGATTATTTTGAAGAGAACACAAGAAACAGGAGAAGAAAGAGAGGAAAAAAGGAAAGAGTGCATTAGATGTAACAAGGACAAGAAAATCTGTCTCACATATACTGGACCCCAGTGTAAAACATATCACTAATCCAAAAAAACTGAAAACCAATGGTATACCCTCCTACTCTCCTACTTAAAACCTCTACACTTACCCTTTTGATTGCACAGAACACAGCATCAGAACTGAAAAATCTATAATCAAATCCCACCACTGCCACTTACTAGATTTATGAAGTTGAGTAGTCCCTATAAGCCTAGATTTGCTCATTTGTAATTAGAGATTAATGCCACCTACCAAACAGGGCTCTTGTGAGGATTTGAGACAATACAGTATATGTAAAGCGTCTTGCATCTAGTAAATGCCCAATGAACAGTAGGTATACCTATTGAGTTTCTTGGCGATGCAGAACAGGTAGATTTCCCAATGCTACATAAAGTTATAGCTCATTCCCTGATGATGATTTCGATTCCTTTTAAAAACAAAAATATGTAAACATACTGTGAGTGGGGGTATGGAAACGCTTTTAACATCTTTCCAGACACTACTAAGTTTAATGGTTAAACTTTTAAAACATTCTCCTAAATACACAGCAAATACAAACGACAATGAGTTGGTTTATAAAAGATTATTATTAGCCTACTGCTGTCTTTTCATCTAAACAAATAAGTTTCAGTTCCAAAGCTCATCACTGTTCTTTTAATTGCAAGATCTCAAATTCCTCCTCAGTTACCTTCAATAATAACAAAACCCCACTGATTAAAATTCACATACATATTACCTCATGTATGTTATCGTTGGGTAGACATCATCATCATAACAACAAACAGATACACCAAAAAGACAGACATCAGAGTATGCCAAAAGTGGGAGTAGTCAATCTATTAAACCACAAATAATTAACCTCATCCTTCTGAGAACTCGTCTGTTGCATAAACTAAGTCCATAAAAACTGTAATATGATTGGTGGGCTATTTCATTTCTGCTCAAATATAAAAGGTACTTGGCTTCTGCATTTTTAAGAAGTTTCCTACACTATAGGACTCCTTTCCAGAATAAAACATTATTTCCTCCCCCTCCTTTTTCCACTCTGAAAGTTAACATGCTTTCAAGTACGCTCATTCAACCCTGGAACTGAGGCAATTACACCGCACACGCTTCCTTACCAGATCTTTCTTTCTGGGTAACATACCTGTTCTCTCGAAATACAAGGCAACGAAGGTCTCCTGAACATTTTGCAACTGCCGTAGTAACTGGCTGAAGTTTCTCCTAGCGACACGCAGCTGGACCTCCTCCGGGGTCTGATCACAGGCACTTTTTCTTCCGCGGTGCTGGGCAACCGAGGATGATGCGGGGCTTCCCTGATTTGAAAGAAGTGATCCAACCCCAGGGCCAGCAGGCATCCGACGCCCCCCACCAGGCAGGAAAGCAGCGGCCTGAGGGCTGCAGGCAGCGAGCCGAGGCCCGTGAAGGAGACCCACCAGACGCAGCTGGCGAAGAGCAGCACCAGGATGCTGTGCTGGAGCCTCCCCGGCTGCGCGAGCGTCAGCAAGCCCACACAGCTCAGCACCAACAACAACCTGCCCGCCACCGCGGGGGTCGTGTGCGGCTCCGGGGCCCCGGCGTGCCCGTTCCCCCAAGACCAAGACCACCACTGGCACACCAAAAAGTCCCCCAGGTAACAGCATGCGGGCAGCGCCAGCAGCCACCAGGAGCCGCCGCTGCGGCCCGGGCCGGCGTCCCGTTTGGGCCGGGTCAGGAAGCAGGTGAGGAAGAAAAAGGCACAGGCGATGCTGAAGAGGGGGCTGAGGCTGTGCGAGCACACGCTCAGCAGCGTCCGCAGCCGGGCAGCCCCGGCATCCCAGCTTTCGGGCCCTGCGCCCAGCAGCAGGGCGAGGACAAAGGCGGCCAGGGCGCCCAGAGAGAGGCGCGCCCGGGAGAAGGGAGAGCCGCGCCGCGGCTGCTGGGGGGAGGCTGGCGGCGACGGCAGCTCCACGTTGCAGAAGCGGCAGAGGTGGAAGAAGAAGCCGCGCGGAGGGTCCTGCCGCAAGGGGCTCACGCAGCTCTTCACGTAGCCGTTCCTCAGACTCTCTGGGGATGAGCCGGCCCCGTCCGGCGGCTGTGGGGACCGCATGGCTTTGGCTTCTCGCTCGTCCCTCCTCATGGCCGGGGTGGCCACGGGGCTCAGCACGCCCAGCTGCGACCGCAGCGGCCGCTCACGCTCCAGGACCCT